CGAACCGCGCGCGATGCGTTCCCCGAGAAATCGTGGCGGGGATTATTACACGCGCGAATAACGTGCAGGCACGTAGGCACGCGTGTCACGCGCGTGATTAAGATTTTCTCATTACACAGACGTAACGCGGCGTATCCAGCATCCTCTTTACCTATTAAGTCGTAAGGGGACAGTTTTTCCAGGACGGGGACAAAGGGAGGCCGGGGGCTTTTCCGCGAAACGCGCGCGTGCAATTATTCGCGGATTTCACACCGGACGAAAATATTCGACCGGTGAAAGCTGGCTGGACGGCGACGGGACTACTTTGGAACGAGTTCTTGCGCGCTTGCTGATTTTTTCCTCGGTTTCTTTCCTCTTGTTTCGCGGAGAAAGAGAGAGAGAGAGAGAGAGAGAGAGAGAGTGAGAGAGATGTCGAGGGGAGAGCGATCGGCGCACGGTGGGTTTGGAATTGTCGCTTTGACTGGTTCTTTTTTTCTCCCCTCTTTTTCTTTCTTTTTTCTTTTCTTCTTTTTTCTTTTTTTTTTTTAAGGAGAGAACGTGAAGTTGTTTTTAATTCCTTGATAGGTGTTATGGGACTGGAGGTTTGTGGAAATGAAAGTGGAGGGGGGAAGTTAATTCTAATTCTGTTTTAGTCCGATTATATTGTATATGTGTTGCGCAAGTCGAAAATATAAAAGGAAATTCAAGTTTGTATTTATTACCTGTTATACATGTTACGTTGATTTATATTTATTTCGATTCATGGGAGAATTTTTGCAAACATTATTAACGTTATTTTTGATTCGAGTTAGTTGTCGTATATCAATTTTTGATAATCCATTCTTTTCTGCCAAATGATTATAACTTTGTGCTGGAAATATGAATATATGTTAGAAAATACGATAAGATAGTTATTGAAATCGTTGTTAATTAAAAGAAAAGATAAAAAAGTTTGTATATGTATATACGAAAATATATGATAATACTTTACACCAATGTTACAATTAAAAAGACATTTATTTTGCGAACAATTTTTGTTCCATTAGAAAAATACGTACGAATTTTTAAACATCCTTAAATACAATTTTACAGATTCACAAGATCGTAAGAGACATGAATTCTTTCCATGAATCATCCAGGATGTTTATCCAAACTGGAAAAAAAAAAGAATTATCAATGGATCACAAATTATCATGCTCAAACATTAATTAACCATGACTCACATTATCGAACAGACAGCGCCTCTTATATCGGCTGATGCATAGCTGAGAATGATTCGAAACAAGCGTATTCCCAATGATGTGTTACGAAATAGCGCCCTTTACCTGACCATTCAGTGGAAGGACATGCGAATGAGCTTTACAGCTGTCGAACTTGGTCGATTCACAGTGAAGAATTTTTCCACAGGTGAGTTATGGATTATTGAACTGTGGAGAAACTTTCCGTGATGTCGAAAATGTAAGTAAGACTGAAGATATATTGCACAGTGAATAGGAAACTTGACTTTCTTTCGAGGAAACAAAGAACTTGGTGGTGAAATTGAGATTTCGTGTAGGATCACTTCGTGGGTTTTCAAATTGCAAATATAGAATCTTTTTTCCTTTGTAAATGATGTTGCATATATTATAATATAACGCTTTAATATATTACGCTTTATAGAAAATTATGTAATACGTTTGAGATGATCTATTACCGTACCAAATTTTTATATTTTATTCAAATAATAAAATCGAGAATCGCGTAAAAAGAAAAATCATCTCGATATGTTTAATCCACTTTATAAAAATTGCAAAAGAAATAAATATATTCTATATCGATCTATTATTCTCTAAAATAAATCTTTCCTTCCTAGAAACCTAACCTCCTTATCTCGCTCGCGCACAAACGCCTCGCAAGAAGGTGTTATTCCCACAATACAATTTCCCTTTCCCTTTCTCGCGCTCCAATTGCGAAACTGAACAAAGAACAAGATTCGGATTTCGGATCGACCCGAGGCCTGCTCGACCCGATCCGAATTGTCCATTCTCTTCCCTCCTAATTAAGAGGAAAAGGAGGACTAAAAACGACGAAACGTTGTCGATTACCACGAATCATATGTCGAAACCATCTTCTTCTCCCTCCTCCTCCTCCTCATCTCCTTCATTCCGCAACGTAACACGCACGTTTGAGAGATCACTCGTATATAATTCAGCTTACTTCAGCTTACCGACTGACTCATCGATACTTACCGGAACTTCTTGATACCAGCGCGCGCCGGTAAGCATGGAACGCATTCAGTCACGTCCTTGAACCTTGCCTTCGCTCGCGTAGAATGCACGCCGAAGTAATTGAACGAGCGCACCGATCGATCGTCGTCACCAAGAAGACGGATCGGCGTGCCTCGTTGCGCAAGAAGACGACGGTTTTCCAGGGTCCTGTACGACTCGAGGCGCCACTTGTCGTCGGTGTTGTTTCTTGCGCGTGAGATTTCGCTAAACGGGCTTCTTGATGAAGACGTAGCCTCTGGGATCGCTCGATGGAACGGCATGAAATTCTAATTATCGGGAGACGCGGTTTAATGATCGGTTGGTTGGCCCATCGAGATGGATGGTTGAACGTTCGAGGTGAACGTTTTTCGCCTTGCTCTCTCTCTCTCTCTCTTTCTCTTTCAACTGTGGGGCACGGTTGAAATTCTGTAAATAGGTTGATCTCGATGGAACGGTGAAGGTGCAAGTGAAGGAGGATTGTTGGGTGCTTGGAAAAATATACGAGGGAATGTGAATTCGTACACAGACAGTGGATGTGTAATGTCTTTCTTGTATTGAAATTAAGGATAAAAGTATTTTTATAAATATTTAGTACCATCCTTCCATCTCGTTGACTTTTTTATTGTCATCCTGTATGTAATATTGTATATATTGTTCATTATAAAGTTGTAATAGGATAACAATTAAATGATTAATTAATGTTAAAATATCAAGAAACCAAATTGAAATTATACTTTTATCACTACAAATCCTTACAATTTATAATGCAATTCTGAAAAAAAGAAACTACATATTCTCACCACTTCGTTACAACACATTAAAAACTATTACCCCCAAACAAAAAGCACATTTTCCCTTAGCATTATACTATTAACACGAGGCTTCAATTTCCTTCACTGATAATATAATGTCACGGTAAAATCGGCCACAAACGTACCGTAAAACGTAGAAACAGATGTCGAAACGAGCAAGGGGGGGAAAGCTAGGTGGACAGAAGAGGATGGAAGACTCGTCGCGTAATGGCTTAAACGCGGCTGTAATCACATTGTTTGCCGGTAATTGCGCATTAATAGATGAGAACTGGGTCTGAAACAGCTACAGGGCTACGACGATCCTGCCTTCACCTTGCGCAATCGAGCACCTCGTGGCCGGTCGAAATACATATCGGGACGCGATATGGTAATATTACTGGTAATTCGCTAATTCCACGCTTGTGAAGAATTCCCAATTCCATCGTTCGTTTCAGAGAACGTTTCTCGGGCTTATCCTCGCTCTGAGAGTCGTGTGTTGCGCATTTTTCGAATTATCTTGTACACGCGAGGCTGTGTACCGTTTGTCCTTAATCCAGGATGAGCGCAGAAAATATTTATTACATTTGTTAGCCGGGAAACGTGATCTGAAACAACTTGTATTCGGTTGAAACTGGTATTTGAAAGTTGCATCTTTGACATTATTTTATGCGCTTCTTATCGGTGCTCAGAATTCCCGTTTATTTTATTCTTTTATAATCTTGATTTTGACTAATGCGTGAATATTTTAATTCCTATGAATCCGAGAGATGAATTATGCATTGGTGAAGCTTGTTCGATTTTTTTTTTTTTTTACATATTTTGTGAATTGGAAGAAAATAATTGTGGGATTATATGTTGCGATATTAATTTAACATTCGAAATCAAATCGAGTTATAGAGGATAATAAGAAACTGAATCTGGATGGATTAAGTTATTTTCCTTTAAGAAGATTTAATTTTAATTTGTATCCCTTCGTTGACACTGTTGAATTAGTAAGCTGTTTAGATCGATTTAACTTATACTTCTTTATAAATGACAAATAAAATGATGAAATTTTCTAACAAATCAAAAATAGATATACCATGATCCCGTTTCTATTCAACTTTCCAACCACCTGTCGCGAGTCTTCAAAATTAATGATATCGTCGAGAGCCCTCTAAACTCAAAAGTCGAACAAACGTCTGGATAATTGAAAAGGCTAGCTTTTTATCGAGGTATAAATTCGATCTCCCGCTTCTATTTTTGGCAACCGTTTAACCTTCATCATTGGGTTAAACTGTTAACCGAGAAAGGATTGAAACGTGTTTGAGGTATTCTTATGGCGCGTGAAAGCTGTACGAATTAAAATCGAATCACTTGTCATGATCGAACGATTCGATCCAAAACGATTGACGATCGATGCTGTCATTAGCTTCGATTTCTTCTAATCCAACCTTGTAGAATGATTACTGACAGCTGGTTGATTTTTAAATCATTGATACAAAACAACGTTAACGATACGTTATATATCGTAAAAAGCAATCGTGAAAAGAAAAAAAAAGAAAAAAAAGGAAAAAGAAAGAATAGTCTTCTTAAGTTCTTTTTTTTTTAACGAGCAAAAAACAAATGTCATAGGTTGTATACGTGATTGCAACTTGCAAATAAGCCCATCCGATTTGTACTCGATGTTCATTGTTTTTACATGCTCTGAACTTGTCACCCATATTGAATATGCAACGATCGTGTGGATTTATTAATCGTAGCAAGGACTGTAATTGCGCAAAAAGTCAAAGATTTATTACTAAAATTAAAGCCATAATAAAATAGTTAAAGTAGTAATTTATCTAGAATTATTATTTTGCTTGTATTCTAAAAAAGGAAAAATCTCGTAAAACCTCTTTCAAGATTTATTTGATGATGTATCTTTTTGAAATAATACAGACTTATAAAAGTCTTAAAGACGCTTTAACGCAACAATAATTTTAATTTGTGGATATCTTAATTATTTCTATTATTTAAAAAAAACTCTTAAACAAATAAATTTAAAAATTGACAATTAAAAAATACTAAATAAGAAATTCAAAATTTTATATAATTTTTCTAAATTGGATCAAGTTAATATAATATCTTGATTTATATCATTTGAAGGAATTAATACGTTAATTTTTTTCTCCTCCTTTAATGTTATTTCGCAACGAATAAAAGAACACAATTTTTTTTATCGATGGCAGAACAAGCACAAGTTTCATAATATCCAATTCCTCTTGAAAAATCTCTTTCTTCTTCTGCTCTAAAACCTGAAGGCTTTATCCCCATATCTTTCCTCTCCGTTCACCCTCGAGAGACCGACTCCCACGCGGCATCCTCATTTCCTGAACATCACGTTCGCGCATCGCTCTTAAATTCCCTCACCTCCTACACAGAGTCGATCAGCGTTGGTCATCTCTGATCTCTGAACAACCTCGCGTCAGCTCGCGGTTTCCCAGACCGAATGCCTCGCGTTATTTTCAGCACCGAGAATACAAAATACTTTCCCCTATGAACTAATCGATTAAGAATCGGCACAATCGGACGATTATTTACAGCAATGATGCATCTATAAATCGATCTTTTTCTTTTTTTTTTTTTTCCATCCATCGTTGATCGCTGATTATGAAGATTCATCGAG